GCGGGGAGGGTGCGGGGAGCTGCGGGACGCGGCGGGGGCCGGGCTCCGCGCTGCCGTCGGGCGGCCGCCGCTCCGGCACGGAGCCGCGGGCGCGGTGACAGCGCCCGGGAAGGGCTGCGGAGGGGCGCGGGGCTCGGCCGGTAGCATCGCCGATGCCGCCGTTCCCGTTCGCGCCCCGCGCTCCCCGGCCCCGCCGCCCCCGCTCCTTACCGAGCGCCTGTCCCTTCGCCTGTCCGCGCCGCTGCTCCCGCTCCTTTCCGCCCTTTCCGTTTCTTTCCGTCTTCCCCTCCGCTTTTTCTTTCTTTCTTTTCTTCCCCCTTTCTCTGCCCGCGTTACCGTTTGTCTGTCTGTCTGTCTGTCTCTCTCTCTTTCCGTGTTTCGGTTTGTCTGTCTTTTTTTTTTTTTTTTTTAAACTTCTCTTTCCGTTTTTGTTAATTTTTTTCCCTTTCTGTTCTTCTGTTTTTGTTTGGTTTTATTTCTCTTTCTCTCCCTTTGATTTCTTGTCTCTTACTGTTTTCGTTTGTCCGCGTTCCCGTTTTAACTGTGTCTTTCTGGTTTTTTTCGCTGGTTTTGTTTCTCTTTCTGTCAATCCGTTTTCATTTATTTTCTCTTCTTTCAGTTTTTCCTCACCTTTTGTTGTAGCGTTTCTGTGTTTCTGCTTTTATTCCTTTCCCGAAATTCTACTTCGGTGTCTCTTTCTGCGTTTCTTTCCCTCGATCAAGTTTCTGGTTTGGTTTTGTTTGATTTTTAATTTCTGGCTGTATTTATTTATCTCCTTTCGCGTTTCCATTCTTCTTCTTTTTTTTTTTTTTTTCTTTCTGTGTTTCTGTCTTTATTTCTCTTTCTTCCAATTTTGAGGGGGGAAAAAAAAAAGGAAGAAAAAAGATAAGACTGGGGGGGGGGGAAAGTGTCTTTCCCTAATTCCTGGCGCTTCTGCTCTGGCCCGTCGCTGCCTCTGACCGTGCCCCGCTCGCTCCCGGCAGGGCGGCCGGGGCTGGCCCTGTGCGCGGGCTGCGGGGGCCGCATCCAGGACCCCTTCCTGCTGCGGGTGTCGCCGGACCTGGAGTGGCACGTCGCCTGCCTCAAGTGCGCCGAGTGCGGGCAGCCCCTGGACGAGACCTGCACGTGCTTCCTGCGGGACGGCAAGGCCTACTGCAAGCGGGACTACAGCAGGTGACCCCGAAATTACCGGAGAAAAAAAAAAAAATCACACAAAGCCCCTTAAAAATAAAAAAACCCAACAAACCAATCCAAAACAACCCTAATTTCCCCCAAACGAAAACCGGCCGCCCCGACGGCCCTGACGCCGCCTGGCCTCCCCGCAGGCTCTTCGGCATCAAGTGCGCCCAGTGCCGGGCCTCCTTCAGCAGCAGCGACCTGGTGATGCGCGCCCGCGACCACGTCTACCACCTGGAGTGCTTCCGCTGCGCCGCCTGCGGCCGCCAGCTCCTGCCCGGCGACCAGTTCTGCCTGCGGGACCGCGACCTCCTCTGCCGCGCCGACCACGGGCCCAACCACGACGGCACCGCCGCCGCCCGCGGGCCTCGCAGCCCCGCGCTGCCGCCGCCCGCCGCCCACCTGGCAGGTAACCGGCTGCTCCCCCTCGGCGGGGCGGGGAGGGAGGGGGGGTGGTAAGGGGGAAGCGGGGGCGCGGAGGAGGCGGCGCTGACGGGGTACGCGCCCTCCCCGCCGCAGAGCCGATGCCCGGGCGGCCGCCCGCCCCGCGGCCGGCTGCGCACAAGGCGGCGGAGAAGACCACCCGCGTCCGGACGGTGCTGAACGAAAAGCAGCTGCACACGCTGCGGACCTGCTACGCCGCCAACCCGCGCCCCGACGCCCTGATGAAGGAGCAGCTGGTGGAGATGACGGGGCTCAGCCCCCGCGTCATCCGCGTCTGGTTCCAGAACAAGCGCTGCAAGGACAAGAAGAAATCCATCCTCATGAAACAGCTCCAGCAGCAGCAGCACAGCGACAAGACGGTGAGCGCCCGCCAGCCCCGACGGGGAGGGGGGTGGCGGGGGTTACAGGGGAGGTGTCCCGGGCTGAAGCCCCCACCCCCGTCTGCCCGCAGAGCCTGCAGGGTCTCACCGGGACGCCGCTGGTGGCCGGTAGCCCCATCCGCCACGAAAGCGCCGTGCAGGGCAGCGCCGTGGAGGTCCAGACCTACCAGCCGCCCTGGAAAGCGCGGTGGCTGGGGACGGGGGGGACAGCGGGCCGGGCCCTCACCGCCGCTGCTCCCCCAGGTCTCCTTCTCCGAGTCCGGCTCCTTGGGCACCTCCTCCGGCAGCGACGTGACCTCGCTGTCCTCCCAGCTCCCCGACACCCCCAACAGCATGGTGCCCAGCCCGGCCGAGACGTGAGGCCGCCCGGCCGCCCCGCCGCCGCGGGACTTCCGCATGCCTGCGCTCCCTGCATGAGACACCCGGCCCCGGGCCGCTCCCAGAGCGCCGGACAAACGCCTTTGTTTTTTAATTATTCTTATTTAAAAACAAACAAAAAAAATATGTTACTGACGGCCAAAAAAGCACCGGGATCCTCGCTGCCTTCACCAGACCGGAGAGAGAGCCCCCGCCCTGGTTATTTCGTTGTTTTGGGTTTTTTCCCTGCGGATTTCGATGTTTCTTTTCCCCTCAAAGAAACGCGGATTTCACCGCTGGAGCCCGGCACGGTGACAGGCTGCCTCGCCCGCCGCTTGCTCCGGGGGCGGCTGTTCTTCCCTTTTTTGGAAGGGAAAAAAAAAACAGGAAAAAAAACCAACAAACAAACCAACCAACCAACCAACAAATCCAACCAAACAAAAGCGGGGAGAGCCTCCCCCGGCGTACGCGCCTTTCCGCGGCCGCGGAGCCGCGCCGTCCAGCCTCATCTCACCCCGATGCCTCGCCCGGGCCCGCACGATCTCTGGAAAAACGGGACACGGAAACGAGACTTTTTTTACCGGGAAAACCAGTACTAAATAATGTTAAGTTATCAATGGACGGAGGACGGATTGTTTTGAGCCCTTAACGAACAAAAGTAAGTTATTGTTATTTATTGTCAGAGTCAGCGGTTGAATAGTGGGATTAAATATTTTGGACTTAATAAAAAACAAAACAAAACAAAAAAAAAAGGGAAAACAAAGAAAGGCAAGGATTGAAACGAAAACGGGGGCGAGCGGGCGGGCGGCGGCGAAGCCCCCCCTCCCCCGAGCGCGGTGCGGGCCGGGGGCGACCCGCAGCCCCGGCTTTACCGCCCCGGCCTCCCCGCACCGCCTTAATCGGCTTTCCCCACCGCGGCCGCTTATTTATAGCCAGGGAGGCGGAGGGCGGGTTTCCCTTTCGGAGCGGCCCCGCCGGGCCGTGCCCGCACCTGCCGCCCTTGCGGGGCCGCGGGGGCTCCCCGGGGCGGCGGCGAGGCGGGCGGTCCCCTCGCCTGGGCCCGTCCCCCCCCCCAACCCCGTCTAGACGCGGACGGCGGCTCGTTGTCTACCCTCGGCATCGCCTGGGAGCGCGGCGGGGGTCGCTCCCTTCCCGGTACCTTCGCCAGGCCCGGGAAGCCTTAACCGGCCCCCTCACCGGGCCCGGGGGGAGCTGGGCCCTACCTGAGCTGCGAGGGGCCGGGGTGGGGACGGCCCCGCCACCGCCACGCCCAGGGGCCGAGGAAGCGGGTGCTCGGGGACCGAGCCGGCCCGCCCGGTCGCCCCGCAATCGCCGTCGGGGCGCAGGGAGCAGCCCGGGCTGCCAGGGCCGCCTCAGCCGGGGGTTCCCCTGCTACCGCCGCGGCGGGCGGCCCCC